ACAATTCGAATTCAATATATAAATCGAGCTATTCGCCGGTGACACTGCTGTCGAAGCCACGCCGGACATAGTCTAGTCAAGTCTCTACTTGCCAACTACTCTGTCTCATCTTCAGTATATTATGTTAATTCATATGTCACGTGACCCACATTAATAACTCTCTAGTTTCATGCTTTAATGTGATACTAAATGACGCTGTATTTTTTTTATTGGATGATATGGAATGGTGCACCCGCCTGTACTAACAGTTTATGGCGGGGCATTAGTGGAGGATGACAAGATGAACATGAGGTCAGGTCAGTTAGCCCTTCGTGACAAATTCACCAAGAATTTACCACGATGGTTTCCAGGGGGAACCGCGTGGAGGTCAACCTGACATGGTACATTGCTAGCAATGAGAACATCTGTCTACATTACTAACAATCCTCTTTCCCCCAATGACGCTGTATTACATTTTAAATTTATATTTATTTTGGTTCGAACTGTAAAAAGGCGTATAATTAGGAAACGGAAGTTAAGACACCAGCGGGGATAATTCAGTGTCGCCATTGTTAAAAATTGTCATATAATACAGAATAGAATAGAAGAGAAGCCCGTGATAGTTTTCAGGAAACTGATAAGTTATTTTTTATAACCTTCATATAAATTTAATGAAAATATTAATTTAATTTCCTTACTTCCGTAGTATGTGTGTATTGGTAAATTTTGTATATAGATTCTGAATTTTATTTCCATAAGTATTACTTTTAAGATATTTTAAAAATATCTTCCAATATTTTTAAAAATAAGTACTTATACAGTATACACAATCAAGGTAGAGATGGCCAATGAATCCGCTACCTATTTATATTCATGAGTATGATTGTTTGTATTTGGTCTGGATGTTTTCTATGTAGATTATGTATATTATGTATGTATGTATAAAAATTAAATCTATATATTTCTATATTTTTTGAAATGAGCCATACAGAATCAATAAGAACGTCACGCACTCGTCACTTCAAAGTCAAGACGTCATGAGGCTACGTTTACCATCAGACGGGCCGTATGCTTGTTTGCCACCTACGTAGTATCTTAATAATATTATAAATGCGAAAGTTTGTAAGTATGGATGTTTGTTACTCTTTCACGCAAAAACTACTGAACGGATTTCTATGAAACTTTACAGTACTTTAGCTTATGCATCATAATAACAGATGGGCTATATTTTATATTGAAATTTAACGCGGGTGAAACCGCGGGCATTTCTAGTCTATACATATAAATAAAATTGGAGTGTCTGTTTGTAATATTGAAATAACCGTTTTTTACTACATGCATATGATTATAAATACGTTACCAAAATAACATTGTTTGCAATTTTTGTCTGTCTGTTTGTTCCGGCTAATCTCTGAAATGTCTGGACTGATTTTGACGGGACTTTTATTGGCAGGTGGCTGATGTAATAAGAAGTAACTTAGGTTACATTTATTTTAGAAGAAATCTTTTATCTTAGAAATATAAAGTCAAATTCCACGCGGACGAAGTCAGAATAAAGAATTTATCCGCTACCTCCTGTCACTTGGGCAACAGGACAAGAGTCTCTGCCCTATTCGGCGTTCAAGGTCTATGTTACGTAATAGAATATTTCGAGGAGTGATCTGATCCTTAGCAATAGCAAATTCATTGTGGCGTATTAAGTCCACGTGTTTGATTTTTTTCTTTGAAATTTGAGTATAAATACACTCGTAATTTTATATGTCATTGTTGTCTTTACCTGTATTTACCTTTGTACCTGATGCACTAAATATATGTACAGCCAAATTCAGAATAGATAGTTGATTTATTTTTATTTAAATTTAATATACTTTTATAAAATATAAAGAAATAGGTTGACTATATAATTGCAGCCAATGTACTAAATATATATACCTACTGCCAAATTAAAAAATTGTAGTTGTATTATTTTTAATTAAAATTTTTTATACATATTATATTATTTTGGTAATGTATATTATAAAAATAACACTCAAATTGTACATATGAACACCTATTCGCTCCTACCCTAACTAAAAAATTTCCGAAAAGAAAACCTAAAATAATTACATTCTAAAATTATTATTAGATTACAATAAAAGATTCGTGAGAAGACCGCTTAAAAAAATATTAATTTTAATTATAAATAACAATGAGGTAATATGTTGCGAATTTGCAAAACTGAAAAGTTTGTGAAACTATTTCCTTATTCATACAAAATCTATTTTTACTATTAAACTATTCAGTTCTCCACTTTCTTAATATAACAAGAGTATTTTTATTTCATTTTTACTATTGAACTGTTCTTTTCTTCTCTTTCCATTTACCTAATTTGAGAGGAGAATTTACTTTTCGTCACACTTTTGTGATTATTCGAAATTTAAATTTTCATAAATGGAATAGTGTCATTTTTTCTTATTATTTCTTTATATAGACAAGTCATAGTTACGGCCCAGTCGCGTGACGTGTCTAAAAATCTAAACAATACGATATGACATTAATCAACGCCCAACACGATCCATTCATTCATGTTTGTCCTGTTTACAACAAAAACTAAGCTTTGTATGATGTCCTTGTGTAATCTATATATTGAATTAATTTTTGTTAAAATTAGAATCAATGACACGTACAACCCACCTCAGCCCATAGCTATACCACAGATAACATAATATACTGACCTCGGGTAATAACGGCCCAAGGAGGAATGGGATTGTTAGAAATGTGGTGTAATTAACCCATTACCAATTCACAAGGATATAACCAAGATGGCTGGAGGGAAGGGGGTTGTTAGTAATGTGGACTTGTGACCCTATTTCTAGTAATGTATGGTACATTGACCTCCACGCGGTTACCCCCGGAAACCATCGTGATAAATTCCTAGTGAATTTGACAGATTCACCAGGAATTTTGCAGTTGCACCATTCCATTATCATCAATTAAAATCAAATCGCCGAAACGTCGGGCGATAACCGCAACCGCGGATCTCTATTTACTCTCTACAAATTATTTAATGAAATGATGATATGAAATGAAATGAATGATGAGCTGCTTTATGTATCGAAAACGTCAAAATGGTGTTGAAAAAAACATTATTGTCACATTGTAAGTCACCAGTCTCTCCTCATAGAAGGAGATTTAATATAACTTTACCACAATTATAGTATTATCACGGTATATTTCGAATTACGAGAACTACTTTGCTGTTTTTAAGGAAACTATATTAATAGCTACTGTTTCGTATAATATTATTAAATTTAATAAGTCAGGTCAACTAGCGGCAGAAATTATAATTAATTGTTTAATATTTCTGATGCTATTCGATGATAGATGGCGCTGTATTAAGCATACAGTTGCCCGTTCACACTTTGTTTTAGTTCGTCGACGCTATTAGTGTATTTTACGCGTACTAGATGGCGCTTCAAGTATTTTCTTGCAATTAAAATGTACATGATAGGACTTGATTTATGACAAGTTAATTGTATTCTTATTATCACAACTAGTTGATATAGACTTAATAAATCATTTTTATGTTCAGGCAATTAAACAAATGCATTAGGTATCTTATTGTTTTATTCTTCAATATTCTATTAAACTGGGCTTACCTACTGAATTATCTTTTTAATTATTTGCTTCATAGGTTTATTTAGACTAGATTTTCTCTTGTTTTGACATTACACAGTATTGTTTCTATTTAGCTTGAAGAGTGCAATGACCTGTCCATAAAATCAGATATCCACTAAGGGTCGAAATTTAATTGGCAATTTCATCTAGGGGTGTTGCAGTTTATCGAGTCATTTCTCCACACATTTTAGCTCTGTTTGCATGTCCGTAAAGAGTCCACGCCCTCAGGCAGCCCATAACCACCCACCTACAAAACCAGTTTTTCTTGAACCCTGCTCTTTCTGTCTATTCGCGATTAGATGATACAACAGAGGCGTTTTCTAGAATTCCTCATGGCTCAAAGTTAATTGGATTGTTGATATAGTTCACCCATTGGGCAGGTAACCACGGTCGCGTCACCGTCACAATTGTATAGTAACAGTAAAACTTAGGCTAGTATTGTGTTATCACCCCAGCTGGAAACTACCCCTGTTTATTTTTATTCACTCAACATAGTTTACGTTCTCAGTTTTCTATCGAAAGATGAAACAAATGCAAAACGGTCCTAAATACTTAAAACAAACTTACCAATAGGTAAAATAGAAATACCTTTCTCAGATTATTGTGGAAAAAATAAACTATAAACAATATGAGACGTAGAAGAGAGTCAGTCGCTTCTGTATATAGGAAAACTACAAAATTTCTAACATCTAATACCGTTAATTTATTAAAGAAAACACCGAATACAAAGAAATATACATTACTAACAAAAATTATAGAAGAATATGACCAACGTCCCTTAAATCGTAGCAATAAAAGTTATAGTAGTTATTCAGAAGAGGAAGACGAGGTTTTAGGTGAAAGAGATCTAGATTACTATCTGGGCGTGCGAAAGAAAGAGACATATTGGAGAGATCCTGTAAACAAAGAACAAATAAGAAAAGATTACCTTATAAACCATTGCGGAATCAAAGAAGAAGACTACAATAAGAATTACAAAATATCAAACACTACAAAATCATTTGACGTTGTACAACCAAAATTAAAGCAGGTGCCTTTCAAAATATATAGAAAGAAAAGGAATAGTTTGAAAGAAGGTGAATCGTGGTGTGAAAAAACGGGTATCTTTAAATTGTTTGCGAATAAAAAAGATAGTGATTATTCAACTTCTGATAGTTATAGTGAATGTGACTCGAATGAAGACATAACAGAGAAAAATAATACATCCAATAACGCAGATGACATTGTAGACAATATGACTACGCATTTCAATTACCTTAATATACGTGACACACTTGATATGTTGTTGATTGAGGTTCGTGTTACATATATGAAACTGTTTTATTTATGTATAATAGATATTAAAATATATATTTTCTTTACAGGGAGTTCGAATAAAAGAAGTATCAGAAGGCAGACCTTGCGACAATTGTCCAGAGCTATGTCCAGGATTCATTCCACATGCATGGAGGTAAGACAACTGTTCTAATAATAACATATACAATATTACTTACGTTATGTCAGTGGTTAGGCATGAGGAACAAAAGGTTCTTGCTTGGAACGAACATAATGGAATTCTTCTTCTGGTATCATTGGAATTCTTCATGGTTATGCAAATGTTCAAAACACAAAACTATGTCTACAAAAACATATAATTTATTTTAAAAGTGCAATAAACGGTTAAAATTTATTAATAGGTCTAGAATAGAAAAATAAACGCCGGCCAACGCCGACGAAATAAAATAGCCCGAAGAATAGGCCGAGTTACGATGGAATCATTTTCTTGTATGGGATGAGGTATCTATGTATATGTAATATTTATCTTATCTGTGATTATATTAAATAATAGAAAGTAGGTAGGTAGTAAGTTATATCGTCCACGATCCTCAAATCTAAGTTGATTTAGAAACTACATTTGTTAATATGTAATGTTGTGTTATCTGTGATTAATGTATTAAAATTGAGGCAAATAAACAACAAAAAACATACGTACCTACGGTGATTACTTACCAATGCAAATAACAAGGTATAACAAAATATGAAAAATAATGGAAATATGATTTTACTAATATTAATTACTAAAAACGTGAAATTTTTGTGAGTTTTGATGGATATGGATATTGCTATGGATGTTTGATTGATAATCTTTGTCACGCAAAAACTACTGAACGGATTTTGATGAAACTTTTCTAATATAGCTTATACATTAGGATAACACATAGGCTACAAATTTCATGCAGGTAAAACCAAATAACGGTTACAATAGCAATACCGTAGTAGGAAGTGCTCTTACTGGCTTTCCTATTAACCTTCTACAGGAACAGCTACTTTTTGTATGGAGTATATTATATGTATATACCTACATATATACATATAATAAATAGGGGTTCTCAACCGCGACTTGTCTATTTCAACGCCAAATTTAGCATTATCTCTTAGCAATTTATTGAAGGTGAACGAAACACAAAAAATATATTAATAGGTGCTTATATTGATAATTTGATGTTATATCACCGTTGAATTATATGCAAATGACAGGCAATTATGTCTCATTAAACTTTTTGTTACCGCCATAGATAAGTGCTCTATTCCAAATGTGATAAATATGTCAATAATCACAAAACTCGTTTTGTTATCGCGCGGACGAAAAACAGTGTTCTCGTTTGAGTTATAGATAACATATCAACAATTTTTAACTTTCATTCACTTCACAAGCATCGCAATGGTTAAACGTGATTAAAATTGACGACCGAGAGGACAATAAATAGCCTTGTAAAGTAAGAAGCGTAAGGTCATCGTCGCATGCGCTTAACAGAAAGGCAAAACATTTTATTTGCCACTGTCATTCGAGCGTTGACAGAGTACAGACGTGTGTAGATAGCGTTGACCGGCGTGACCTGCAGTCATGTGTCTCTCATTGAAACAATTGGAATGTGCGGAAGTGTACCGTCGGTTAACAGGAAACGAGAAAGAGCTACAAATTCAGAGCACTCAGAGGAAAATCCAAAAGTTCCCGTCCAGAGAACGCAATCACGCTGTAAGGAGAAAAAAAAACAACAACAACAATATGCACTCGTATGCTAGCTGCCCCAGCTGTGCGAGAATCGCTCAAGAAGAGAATAGGTGATAGTGCAAAGTGAGGATTGTGGTTACAATGATATTATTAAGGGTGTTCGATTAATCACAAGATTTAAAGCATACTCATCGCTGTATCCTGGAACAATAAGTTTTGGCTATAGTATCAGCATCAGCCGGTCACAAATTTAACTATAACGTTATCGTATAAACTTTTGGCATTGAACAATGACGTGAATAACGGATATTGATAGTGATTAGTATATTAAGAATGAATATTGCTGATACTAAGACTGAATCCGTGATACAGTCCAAAGTACTAACGAGCAAGAACGGCCACTGTTTGTTTCAATATGTAAATTTATGTTAGGCACTTGCCGAGACTTATTGTTGGTATCACAGATAGTATAAATGTTATAATATTGTTCCACGTGTATCACCAATAAAAAACAGGTCAAGTGTAAATTAGTGTTAATTTGTTGATATCAAAATCGTATCGTGTGATATTGTAATTCATGTATATCGTTTTATTGTATTGTATTCGTTGTTTGGACTAATAAATGATAATATAGTCATCACGGCACTTCGTGTCACGTATTTTATGTTTTTTAAGATACCTTGTTCATATTGACTACCCGAAGCAGTGTCAATTTGCACTTCTAAAACCGTTTGTTTGAATGTAAACTTTCTGTTGTAGAGGCGTAAGTTTTAAATCAGTTGAAGTTATCGTCCTATCACTGTAATTGTTTAGGCTGGTAAAATAAGTGAATCTATTTAAGGGGGCCCGGATCCAATAATTTATCGGCGTGTCGTAAAAATGTCGGCTACGAGTATAAAGGATCTAGATAACGAAGTTTATATTTATTATACCTCTTTTGTTTTTGTAATTATATTTAATCTCGTATCTCATTAATGTATAATGAAATAGAAAGAATCTTTATTCAAATGAACTCAATATGAAACGATGTTTCCACACAAAGTTAAATCTCTATATAAAATCTCTGGTCAGGGTTAGTTGCTATACTTTTCCGAAACTAGCTAACCGATTTTGATAAAATTTTATATATTGGTATACTCGGTAAGGCAGAAAATAGGTTGTTTATTCTCTTTTTTTGTGTATCCCAAAACAACGAGACTGGCCTACCCTAAAAAATGTTTTTACACTTTTGACAAAAAAATATTTTTATTTATTGTTGCATTAAAATACACAATAATTAAAATGCTCTCCTAAATTATAATACACTCCTAAATTTTCACACTATTTCACTATTTTTAATGGCGATATTAATTTACATGGCATATCAACGTTTGCCGGATCTAGTAGGTATAATATAAAACTTGTTATGTACAGAAACAATTATGGAAAATTCATGCAATTAGGTAAATAAATCTAGTACATAAGTTATCGTATCGTATAATGGCTTAGTTATAGGTATAATAAAAACAATTATTTTAATTTGACTCCAATAAATGTAAAACATTATCAAGATCGATTCTTCTATTGATAGTCAGTTCAAGAAATTAATAGTTTTATTATGATTATATTATTATTTCCATAAAAATGAGCAATAATAATGACCCTGGTCAAAGCACACAGCGCCATCTGGTACTACGCTGAACAGAGCTTGTGTTATGGGTACTAAACTACATAAAAATATATTTAAATTAATTTCTGATATAAATATGTACATAATATTTAAAACACCCAGACCAATACAAACAATCATTCTCATGAATACAAATGTTTGAACTGTGACCGTTTGCACAAAAATCGATCCTCGGAAGTAAGTGCGATATAAGAAATAATGGATCCATTTTGTACAAAAAATATATTATTGTTTGATCGTAAGTTGACGTTACGTGACGTTGTAACAATAAGTATTGTATTGTAGAAGCAGAACAATTGTATTCATAATATTGTTTCATATCAAAGCAATTACACATAAATTGACACTTTATTTTAAGAATAGCGGTAAAAAAATTACAATATATAATAAGTACTTAAGTAATAACTTTTAGATTTAATACAATAACTTATTCTTTATAACAGTCAACATAAAAAATCATGAATAAGATTAATGTACATATATGTAGTCACAATTGGGTTTTCATTTTAGTTAGTCACTCATTTTATTCAGTTACCGGAACAAGAAGAGTTAAACTTTAAACGAATTAAATTTAATGTTACGTTAACAGGTTAAATATAAAAACTAGACAATTTTTAATTTTATTGTAATTTTATAGCTTTAGAGAGTTCTGAGAGCCAAACGGTTGACACCAGTCTTTCCCCTTCATGCAAGTGTCTTTATCTTTGTACTCAATAAAGGAGTTAAGCTTTTTACACTTATATGATATATATATCATTTTGAGTATACATTGTACTGATATTTTTGAGACCACGAATCCGTGTAATTGCCTGTTACATACTCGTATAGTTATGAGTCATGGGCAATCAGCAGTGACCAAAATGTTTAAATAGATATGTCTAATACTGCACAGCACTGCCAAAACAATAGCCCCGTCATAATATCTGGCACTCAGTCGGCGAAAGTAGTTCTTCTTTTTCTTAATAAACTGCTATCGTTTAGATTAAAATCTCAGCACCGACAAGACTGGTGGACAGACAAATTCAGGTATAATACAGCAAATTTACTTATTTTTAATAACAATTTAAGGAGTGGTTGCATTTATTAACATAGTAATTTATTGTTTATTGAAATAAGTACCTAATAAACTGTAGGTTATTGTTTGTGTAAATCCTGATTCATACATGCATTAACATTCATTATCTAATTGAATTTGTTTAATAACAATATTATTATTTACATACATTACAACAATATTATTATCAGTTTTAATAATAATGTACTCCTTTTCGAATATGTGCTCATAACGCTGGAAAATTTAGCTTTTGTTTTAACTTAAATTTTGACGTACACTTAAATTTAACCTACTTACTGCTTTCAAGAAATAATTATTGTATTTTTATTTACTTATTTTATTCAGGCCCATTTTATAAATCACTACATAGTATAAAACAAAGTGGCTGTCTCTGTATGTCCCTACGTATGCTTAAATCTTCAAAACTACGCAACAGATTTTAAAGCGGTCGTTTTAATAGATAGAGTGATTCAAGAGGAAGGTTTATATGTATAATACATGAATAATATTGTAGAGAAACACTGATAAATTTAGAGGTTTCTAGTACTTTATAAACATGTGTAATTTAATAAATTAAATTATATTTATAATGTATGTAATAGCATTTTGTGCAGTAAATTGAAGGAATAAATTTAGAGGTTTCTAGTAATAAACATGTGTAATTTAATAAATTAAATTATATTTATAATGTATTAACGGTAGATTGAAATTAACACCTATACATATAATATAGCA